CCAACTTATCTATCTCTTTCAACGGTTCTGATATTAATGCTTTTTGTCACTAATCTAGCTATATATGTTTTAAATCAACAATTTTATTTTTATTTTATCGTAAAAACTCATGTGCATTCCACTGATTTCTTTTCTTTTAATAACTTAATCAATTCTTATTTTAATTTTTAGAGCTTCAATTACTTCCATCATAGCATTAATACAATTCTCTTTATTCAAAGCCTTAGAAACTATCTTAAGGATAGAATAGAGCACAGGTTAGTGAGGAATTATTGGTGATTATGAGTAAGTGGCATGTTTTAGTGAAATTTCTTGATGTAGGGCCTATAGGATCTTGATGTTAAAGGCAACAATTTGATTGGAGTCCCTTGGGGTGGTCGTGGAAGAGTTATGTGGGTAGTGGGAGAAAGTGGTATTCAAGGTTTGAATAAATTTGATGCTGAAACTTTTAGGCATTAAAAACCTAATTTTTTCTTAGGGGAAAGTAGTGAGAAACTCCTGATCAAAGGTGGAATGTTAGGAAACTAATGGAGATGTTTTTATGATTTTTTTATTAGTAGTTTAAGAATTGTATCTTTTTAATAATGTTGCTCATGACTTAAAGCAGAAATTTCTCTCTGTGTATTAGTCCTTTGGTTTGGATATTTTTGGGTTAATAGGTATTTAAGGCATTGGGAACTTGTAGGGGTTGCAGAGGAATGTATAGGAGAGTTTGGAATGAGTTAATATGTTTTATGGTTGAGTGCGGATGTCATTTAGGTTGGTGGGGGGAGGGGGATTATATTAGATAGCAGAGGAGTAGAACTGAGAAAAGATAACTAACGACACACAAAATTCCTAAACAATTAGCCACTAAGCTTACTAGAAAGCAGAGTAGCCACAAAATATTTTCACACAAAATTTGCACAAACAAAAGATAATTTTTATTCAACAAAATAAAAAATATAAAACAAGGTCCTATTGATAAACTTTTTTAAATCTAACCAAATTTGAAATGACTTAGGAACCAATAAAATACTATAGTATGAATTGATGATTTTTCCTAATACAAAGGAAAAAGAAAATAAGCAAAAAATTACAAAATTTAAAGATTCCATAAATATAAAAATTCGGATATACCAAATATGGCAGGTGGAGTGATCCTGAAATTAAGCAATCTTTAAAGATCTTTACCTTATAGATTAGTATGGCCAATTCATCCATCAAGGAACTTTAAATTGAGTTTTTTAGTTATTCTCCAATGATTTTATAGATATGTTGAGCCGTACCTATGCTTTATTTTGAGAGTTGTGCATGATGAATAGCTGAAATCTTAATACAGTGCATTGATTTGTGATATTGTTATTGGCCTTTATGTTGGTGTTGCATCAATTATTATACCTTTGATTGTAGGTTCAGTGCTTACCTCAGTGGAACCAATGATAGGAATTAATCTAGTTGACTGAACTTATGTAGGTTTTGATGCTTTTCTTTTTTATTATACCTATAATGACCAAGTAAAAAGTGTTTCCAATATAGGCTCAGTTTTGATAGGAATTGGTAGTTATAAAATGGAGTTTTTGTTAGACAGAGAGCTAAGAAAGGCAATCTATTAGAAAAAAAGTCTTTTGTCAATTCTATTTTTTTCCTTCTCTGAGTAATGATAAAATAGTAATCTTCTTCATTGAAAGTGATATTAGTGGACACATTTTTCTCGTGGAGAGATGTTAATTTTTGTACCATTTTTGTATGGTAGAATAGCTAATAAAAACACATGTAATTACTCATGGATCAAGTTTTTCTCTTCTTTGGGATGTGTAAGAATAATGATTCCAAATATTTTATGAACAATGTTGTTTTAGGTATTGAAATGGAGAAAGAATTTGGATTGAACTTATAGATACCTAGTTTATGATTTAAGTAGCTTTTAAAATAGCCCCTTAAGAGTATTTTAGAACATCCTTTTGATAAAAGAGAGCCCTTATGATAGCTAGCAAGTAGCTTTTTTTTTTCATTCAACCAGACTATTTTGTTATAGTGTAAACAGATAAGAGGGCATGTGGATTTTTCCTTCTTGAAAGTATAAGGAGAGAGAAGGGTTAAAATAGTCTCTGTCATTGTCAAATCTGAATCTTTTTATTTCAAGTCCAATTTGAATTTTTATCATGTTGAAAGAGGCAGGAAAGATGGCACTCACATCACTTTTGTTTTTTAGTAAAAAAGATCGTAACACATAATTATCGATAAAGGACACAAACCGGTAAGCCTCAAATATATTAGGTGTGAAGGATGGTCCCTATATGGTATATCATGAATGAGAAGAAATTGACTTAAGAATTTTGTCACTTATCAGAAAACTGATACTTTTGTATTTTTTTCCTAACTCTCAAACATCATAATGAAATTTTCTAATACTTATTTCTTTGAGAGATTATGGAAACATAATTTTGAGAATGGCAATGAATGAATGATCAAGATATAGGTGTTGAAAGCATATATTTTTTTGGATTTATGGACCACTGAATAAAAATATATTGTGAAAGCTTGTGTGGAATTTTCTTGATCATTGGATTTTTCAAGGTGGTAGGACTATTCATGTCTTTAGTAAGTTCAATCATTCTCCTCACACCTTATTCCTGGAAAGACACATTGTAAAGGATAAAATAATACACTATGTTTAGAATATACAATAAGCTTTTGGATAGATAATAAGTTAGTGAACAATTTAGATACATTGAGGATCTTTTAGAGTATGAGTGATTTTTTCTTGAGAATGTCTTCCTAGCTGGCAACATTCGTACAAAGATCCATCAATGATGGTTATTTTTTTGTTGGTATGACAAGAAGTCTAAGACATAAATTTGTGTAAAGAGTTGGTCATATATTTTGTAGATCTTGAACTAATAATCTAGGAACTGGAATGAAGCATGTCTAATACTTTAAAAGCTTGTGAAGATGAGTTAATACCCACGAATGCTAGAGAACAAGTACTTGTTGTAGCTATCGATGTCAGCAAGTTTTTATACTTTTTATTTTTTTCTTTTGGGAACTCGATTGACGGTTCTTGATTGTTGTCTTCTTTTATGTGTTATATACACATACTTTTGTTTTTTTGCCTATCCTCGTTACGTTGTCTAATCTTTATTTAGTAGTTTGTCATAAAGCTTCTAGCATATTTCCTTTGTATGTCAAGCATTTTTGTAATATTTTGCTCCATAGATAATCCAAATTGATCATTTTTGTTGGGTTGGCTACTTGTGCTTTTTGGTAGAAGAGGATTTTGAGTCATAGTTTTTGATGTTGACATCTATTGTCATTAAGATCAAACCTTCTTTGGGGTTGTTAGTATTCATGAGTCTACTTCTCCCTTCTTCCATTCTAATAATGGCATTGACTTTATTTAGCAAAAGAAAATCCTCCTTGCATTATCAAACTTAACGTTTAATCCAGCAAGAAAATAAAAAATTCAGCCTTTCAACAAACTTTTTGAGGTTGGTGGCATCTTTGTTATATTTCATTTGAAAGGGTCAATAATGATTCATCTTTTGCCATTGGCCTTGCAGTAGATTGCTGGATTATATGATGGATCATCCTCTTTATTCGTTCTCTTTATTGTATGGATGAGATATTAATCTTGATTTCATAAATTTGGACTGCATATATATATATATATATATATATATACAAAGAAATGTGCATGTATCACTTATCTTAGGAACAATGAAGTTCCGTATCTAGGACATTATCATAGAGTCATGTTCATCTCAAACATTGAACGTGGGATCGCCTTACTAAGGTCCAATGCTAAATAAATAGATCAAATTTTCTCTTCCCTTCAAGAATATGCGAATCAATTGTAATCACTGGAGATAATTTTTTTCATTCAAATGACATGTTGAATGGATGCTTTACAATTCTCCTCTTGAATTTGGATTGTGGGCCTCAACATTAAAGTGACCTACAGACCAAGAGAATATGGATATTGTTGTCCATGAAGATGGAAACTGCAGCAGTAATTGGGCTTGCAAAAGAAAAAAGGGAGAGAAACAAGACTGTAGTTATGAAGGCTACAACTATCAGAAGAATAGGAGGAAGTAATAGAACTATAGCAAAGAAGGTTGCAAGATGTGGCAATACAGTGATGAAGGTTGCAACTTATGGGATTACAAAGAAATGAGAAGCCTAAATCTCTGATAATATGACACGGATTTGAGAGAATTGGTTGAGTACTTCATTTCATCATTTGTAGAATTTATATAATATAACAAATCAGGGATTGCAAATCAACTATATTTATAAAATAGGGGAACCCATGGATTAGTGACATTAGTGAGATGGCAATAATTATCCCATGAATCAGTGAGTTGGAATGAAGAGAATAATGAAGTTGCGGGCTGAAAGTAGTTATGGGCTTGGTTAAAATGGCTCGTGATAGCTAGCTAGGCGTTAGGGCAGATAGAGCTGGCAAGAGCCAGTTGGAGCTAAATTTCAAGTGTAGAGGCTGTTGGAGCTGGCAAAAATCACGTTACAATCTTTTCAAAAAGGTTTTCTTTCTCTCCAAGTAAAAAAACAATCTATGTATAAAGTTGTTCCTCCACTCTTAAAATTAACTAACTCTCTTATTTCTTGAAGCATACTGACCAAAATTGGTTTCTAGTTTAGAGGTTTGAGGAGCTAATTTTAACGAATGCATATACGATGAATTTCTTTAAATCCAACTAAAATTTAATATTTGTATATGATTTTGTGCTCATCTTATGTCTATATTACTTGCCTTGTTATCTTTATATTTGTATTGATATTGAGCCCATTCAATGAAAATTTATGATAAATTTCTTTCTTTGAAAAAGAAATTGCCTGAAGATGCTTTAGATCACCAGTGGAGGTGTTGAATCCTTTGATATGTAGTTTCTATGTTCTCCAGCCAAATAAATGTTTGCATGCCTTTCTTCCACCATCTATATTCCTTGCGATATTATTTGTTGACAAATGTAGTCTTCATGTTGTATTTATCAATGCAGGCAACGAGCCCAACTCTTTGTACTGAATGCTTCGAAGAAAAGCATAGGCATATATACTTTTCAGTTGATTCAGAACTGCTATCATTCTAGTAATTAAAATATTTACAACATAAATGCGTTATATTCTGTACTTAAGAATAAACTTCCAGTTTGTCTTTTGATGTGCAATTCCAGATATAGTCATCAAGTAAGCACAAAAGCATTACAATGCCTTTCTATCGTTTGTTGTGTTTTTTTTTTTCTGGCCTTTATAATGCTACCAGGCTATTTATTTCTGCATAAGTGAAGATTGAGATGTTATATGTTAGAATCAAGCATTGGATGTTGAATTTTTTGTTTTATTTTTTACAAAGGGATAACTATTTTTGTTCTTTGTTTTATGCATTTTGTTTCTGAGATTTATTGCTTTCATGATCTTATTTATATTTGATCATTTACTTGTAATTGTCTGCTGATTTGTCTTTGTTCTATTTTTCAGATCTGTTTGACTCATGGGTTTCATTTGGATCAATTGTTTTATTGTTTTATAAACCAATTTTTTTAACTTGAAAATTTTCAACTAGAAAATTGCTTTAAAAAGCAGTAACAAAGTTGTCATAAATGAAGCCTTTGACTGCAGTTGGGACAACTTTCTTCTTACTTTTTAGAATAGTTTCTTAGTACAAAAATTTTTTGAATTTAAAATTTTTGTACTATAAAGTTATTTTATAAATCAGTACGAAAGCTGCCCAAATACAACCTTAGTGGCAAGTTTTTAAAATTAGAAACAAGTAACATTATTAGCTTAATAGTTTTACTATGAGCTATCTTGTCATAACAACAAAGCTTTTGATTGTGATATCTGATCACATAGATAATCCAACATGAAACAGTTTTTCTACATTTAAACATTGAACATAGAACATTACCCTAATATGATTGTCTCCTTTTGTATTGATTGAGATATGGTAAGAAAAAAGGGGGATTTACAGATATTGCCTAGTATCTTGATGTATTTGCATTTTTAACATTAAATATGTATGTTTATTTATAAAACATTTAAATCTTTGAGTTAGATTAAAAGTTTTTACTAATATTAATTTTTATAATGTGAAATATATTTTTATATTTATTTATATAACATTTAAAATTTTAAATTGCATTAAAGTTTTCATTAATATTAATTTTTATAAAGTGAAATATATATTTTTCATGCATATTTCTTTGATGTGATTGAGATAATAAAGAGTTATATAAATAAATATGCAAATTAAAGGTTATACTTATATATGTAAATAAAGAGGAATTATCTGGTATGTGTATAAATTGTCCTAATAAAAAAATGATGATGATTCATTATATTAAAGAAATAAACTCGAATGTCATATTAATCAATACTGTGTGAAAATATTTAAAAAAAAATAAAAAAAAATATTTAAAAAAATATCAAGAAGAAGAACCTTAGAACCCTATTGTATTTTTGTCTTAAATTCCTTTTAGCAATCTTTTTAACAATCTCTCTTTCATTCTCATTATTTCATTACTCTTATATCCATCAATGTTTTTGCTCAAATTTACTCGACAGATTCAATAGGAAACAACATATAACTATTAATCCAGGTCTCTAAATAGCATGATATGTAGCCATTTGTTGTTGGTTGAAGAGATCCGCCAATGTTAATCAAGTTATTAATCCCCTTATTTATAAACTTAACTCCTAATTACCTTAATGTTTTTAATTGAGAGCCATTTTTAATTACATAAGATATAATTAATCATCAGAGCCCTGCATTGGGTACCCACACCTACCCACGTACCCACCCATACCCAATGGGCATGGGTGGGTATGGGTACGCCCATAGCCTCGTGGGTGGGTACTCAACATCAGAGGAGAATCGTTTTACATTACTAATCATCATATACATGCAGTATATTATAATAATCTTTACTATGCAGTGCGCAACACTGAACGTCGTCACGACCATGATAAATTTTGATATGTGGCTTGAAAGTTTACAGTCAGAGAAAATGGCAAAAAATCTCAAGGCCATTATTCTATGACAGATTGCATTCATTAAGCGTAGAAAGTTGGTGGGTGTGGGTGGGTATGACATCCGGAAAGTCACCATATGTGGGTGTGGGTGTGGGTGGGCAAAGCCCGCCAACGCAGAGCGTGGGTACCCAATGGGTATCCAACCAGCACCCCATGTAGGGGTCTGTTAATCATACATGCTTATGGTACAAAAAATTTCAATCCTTATATCTAAAATAAAATTTATTTATGTTTTGATTGAGATAGTTTTTTTTTTTACCACTTTCACAGTCTTTGTTAGTCTACTGGTTTTAAGAATGTTTTGTGTAACTAAGATTTTGTTTAGGATGGCTTTCTTACTGCTTTTTATAATTTTTGTACTAAAAAGCTGCTATAAGAAGCAGTAAAAAAGCCGTATCAAATGAAGCCTAAGTTTGTTTTTACCACAATTTAAAAAAAAAACTATTTTTCACACAAATGTTGTATAATCATCTTTACAAAAAGTTGCGGCCATTCTAAATGGAATTTAAGGCTCATTAACTAGTTGGAAAATATCCTTAGGATCTTATACTTTGTGGAAGACCTTTCTCTCTCATGATATTGCAAATAGATGCACACACATAAAATAAAATAATATAAATAGTGGGTAATCCCTTTAGAATCTCACAAAGCTTCTTTAGATGTCTATTCTTCCCATTAATGTAGCATGAAATTATTAAATGTTACTCTATAATTAGCATAAAATGATTATTAATAATCATATCATTATTTAAAGCCCTAGTAATTATGTGAACAAATAAACAATTAAAATGCTATAATTAAATATACCCAATGAAATTTGTATTTAAAAAATGATACAATTAAAAAAAGACATGAATTAAATATTCGAGTAAAATCCATCATATTTATAAGAACTAATACTATTGAATGAACTTATAGGTGCCGTAACACTATCAAATAATTGTATGATGTTAAAAAAATTAGGTTAAAAATTTCTCATGAAGTTTAATATTTCAATGAGATTTAATTAATATGGTGCATTTTCTAAGAATTTTTTTAAATCAAATCTCATTCAAATAGTTAATATTTTTTTTAGAAAATTGATTTTAATTTTATAAATAATTAAAATTTTGGATAATTATAAAATTGCCCTCATATTTTTTCATATAAATTTTTTATATCTTCATAGCTAAATATTTTTATTTGTTTATATAATATATATTTTAATTATATTAAAATAATTACTAATCTTAACCTACTATAAATATATATATATATATATGTTAAATATGCAATTCATGAAAATTATAAAGGTTTCGAAGTAAAAGAGTCAGGCCATGTCGCTTGGAAAGCGTCACGAATGAGGGATTTCACTCAGCTTGGACGATAGAGAATAGAGAGCACGCCGTCTGATAGCACTTTCGCTAGCGAATTGAGGGTGGTCGCCTTCTTCATTCGATTTTCCTGACTTTAGCTGATAGCGGCGAGCTATGCCTTCTCACTGTTTGCTAGTTTGTCAAAGAGGAAGAAGCGTTCGATCCTCTGTTTGAAATTTTCCGATCAACCGCTTATTGTTGATTGCTTCCAACCTTTTGTTTCTAACCTAAAGATTTTTCCATGGTGTGGGGATTGGTCCCAGCTGATGCCCTTCGAGGTGCTTCCTCTAACCAGCAATCTAAACCTTTTTTTTTTTTTCTTCTATAACATTCACATCTCAGGGATTTCATTTCATGCATTTGAACCATTCGGCTTTTGTAGGTGCGCAGAAGTATTACATTTTGGCTCCAGGGACGTATAAAGTCGGCCGAAAAGGTTAACTCGTTTTCTTCAAGTTCTCTTTTTTGTTTGGTACGTTGAATGCGTAAGCACAATACTCTCACATACACCCATATTCTTGATTGATCCCATAACCTCTAAGATAAGAGCCTAAGTATCAATCATCGAGCCATGATGCAGAGCACAGTACAGTGTATCTAACATCATATTTTTCTCCTACGCTGGAATTTAATAAAGTTTCTACAATTTTGGCTTGACATGTTAGAGTTCTTCCTGTTGGTCATTTAACCTTTGGCTCTGCAGACTGCGACATTATTGTTCAGATGGACCCATCAGTATCTCGACTCCATGCTGAGATTGTTGTTGATCAGATGATATCTTCGATGATTTTAAATGCTGGATCCACAAAATCAAATTCCCATGTTCGGATTAGAGATAGTTCTAAGTTTGGTACATTTGTAAAAAAGGAATTGGGACCCAAGGCCCGTTTGCGCCAGGGTGAGGAGGCAACCCTTATAGAGGGGGATATTGTGACGTTTGGAACTGGTAATGCATCATTCAGGTGAATGATAGTTTTGATTTATTCATCACCATATTTGCAGTTCTTATATTTTGATATAAATGTTAGCTGTACTATGTTAAAGAAATCTAATGTTGGCAGTTACTTTGTGGCTTATTTCTAAAGCTTTTTTTTTTTTTTTTGTAGGTTTTGTTGTGTTCCCTTTAGAATATTTATTCATAGACCAATGCGTGGCCAACTTAGGTCAATTCAATCCATTGCATCATCTATTGGTATGCAGAAATAGCTTCCTTTTTATTGTCTTGAACTGTATGGTCTGGAATACAAATATTATTTCAAAGTTTGATTATAATTTCATTTATGCATTTCTCAATCGCAGTTGCATGTGCCCAACAATACTGAAACATAGCTTTTGCATATTACAGTAGTAGAATAATGATACAGAATAATGCTTAGATAATTTGATTTTTCTATTAATTAGATACTAGAAGTTGTGCCAATGTATGTTCAAAACTATGTGGAATAAAAAACTCTAACAACTTTGTGCAAAGTGGCAGGACCGGCTAAAATCATAAATAATTCATGTTTTAAGCTGCATCAAAAGTACAATTCTTGAAATTGTGATAGGAAACACTTGAAGATTTCAAGTAAATCCTATCATTAGAGCAAAAACAGCGAGAAATCTCCACGATTCCAATGGAAAACTAGTGAAAAACATTAATTTTATTGCAAGAAAACAAACTATGGAAGATAATAACAAGATACAATTGATCCTCTATTCAAGAGAAGGATCGATCCCTCCCAAATCTCTAGACGTTGCTAGAGCCCAAAGAAAACCTATGAGATATCAAATTTCAGCCAAATTCAAGAAGCCCTAACCCTAGAAAAACAAATTATTTAATGCATACAAATCAAAAGGAAATCCCTAAATAGTCCATCCATTCAAATTTCCCTCCTAACTCCCTCAAAAATCCTTCCTAAACATTTCACGCATGCCCGAGCGTGCGTTCGACGCGTACAGAAGGCGAAAATGTCTGCCTCTATTCGCGTAAGCCAGCCCCGTCGAACCAGCTAGACTAGTTTAACAATACTACCCTCCCAAAGATCCACCTTGTCCGCAAGGTGGAAAGACGATGCCCTCTTCTATTTTTTCTTCATCACAAACAGTTAGAACCTGAAGAGTTCGGTCCTTACACCTGTGCTCCTGCGTATTCCTCTCGTCACATCTAAAACAGATCCCTTTCGCCCTCTTTTCCTATAATTATGTTTCTGTGAGTTCTTGAAATTGTCCCCAAGTCTTCCTCCGGTAGTCTTCTCCTTCAAAGTCTCCCTAAGAGTACTCGGTGTTGGCTCTTTGCTTGTCAAAAAGGTGGTGGTCATCTTGTACGAGCCTCCTGATCCTCATGCTCCTTGTTCCAGGTGCCTCTGATCCTCCACCAACTAAGCTAGCTTCATAGACTCTCCCAAGTCCTGAGGTCTCATCACTCTGACTGCTACGCGGATCTTTAGTTTCAATCTCTTCATAAAGTTTACTTCAAGTACAGTCTCTGGATGCAATACAAATAACTGGCAAGGTACTCAAATTGCTCATGGTAATCCATTATTGTCCCCTCCTGTATCAAAGAGAAGAATTGCTCGTAGAAGTTCCCTCCCCTACTAGTTTGAAAACATTCCAATAGGCAGTCCTTAAACTCCCTCTAAGTTCTTATTGGTCACCTCGTATCCCTCCACTGGTATCATTCTAAAGCTTTCCCTTCCAATTATATCCCTATTGCCATCAGTCTCTCCCCCTCCGTTAACCTGTTGACGGTAAAGTACCTTTCCACCTTGTAAATCCACCCATGGGCGTCCTCTCCCTCAAAAATAGGCATCTTCATCTTCCTCACCCTCATATCGCTTTCATTCCCTCTGTTCCCTTCATAATTTCTTCTTCCCCAAGAGGGTGGTTACCCCAAGTGTCTCAATCATCCCTTTTATGTTCATACCCAAGCTTTTCATCAAATTCTCACATTCTCCTTTCAAATTCAGCTCCTCTTGTATCATAACAAACCCCTCCCCTTTCAGATGCAGTCTCCCTTTGGTCCTAATTACCCTTTTCCCTTACAACTTCCGCCCCTCTCCTCTCCAAATTATCACATCTTCGTTCTCGCTCCACCTCCTCATGCTTCTCCCCATATCCCCTACTCGGCTCCCCCATAGGAATAAGCTCCACGGGAGGCAGTCTCTCTTTTCTCTTTTGAGTCTCCACCTCCTAATCTTCTCTTTTCCTTATTGGATTAGTGTTTTCCCCGCTTCTTGTTGGAGGCTTCCCTCACCTTTGACGATGATGTTTTGGATTGACCCTCAAGCAACTTCATCATTGCCCCAAGGCTGGAAAAATTCCCATCCATCTTCTCGTGGATGTCTGAAATTTGATTTTTGACATCTGAAAGTTGAGTTTGGAGATTTGAAATTTCAGTTTTCAATTGTCTGATGTCCCCCTCCAACAATTTTATCATTTTCCCTGCCATCGGTACCCGGATCTAGTTTCCAAATAGCAAAAATGGCAAAAAAACAACAGTTTCTAGCCTTCAAACAGCAGCTTGAAGAGTGAAACGTAGTAGAAACTTGCGAGGAGACTTCGATTTCTAGCCAGGAAATTGCTCTGATACCAATTTGATAGAAAACATTTGAAGATTTCAAGTAAATCCTATCAAGAGAGCAGAAACAGCGAGAAATCTCCATGATTACAATGAAAAACCAGTGAAAAACAGTAATTTTATTACAAGAAAACAAACTACGGAAGAAAATATACCATTGATCCTCTATTCGAGAGGAGGATCAATCTCTCCCAAATCTCTAGACGCGGTTAGAGCCCAATGAAAATCTATGAGATCTCAAATTTTAGCCAAATTCATGATGCACTAACACTAGGAAAACAATCTATTTAATGCATACAAATCAAAAGGAAATCCCTCAACAATCCCTACATTCAAATTTCCCTCCTAACTCCCTCAAAAATCCTTCCTAAATAGCTCACGCACACCTGAGCATGCGTTCAGCGCGTCCGCTTCTGTTCGCATAAGCCGGTCCCGTCGGACCGGCTGGACCCGTCTAACAAATTGGTTCTCCTATTTTTAAGATGCTAAATTAAAATATTATATGTTTTAGACCTTCTTTAGCATGGAAAATTTGAGATCTTTTGGCAAACAGAAAAGAACTTCTATTCGTTAGCTATTGATGCTGCTCAACTACTTCAACATGTTTAAAAAAAATAAAATAAAATAAAATAAAAAAACTGCTTCAACATGTTTTATTCTCTCCATGGATGAGAAAGCAAGGTGTAATATTAAGAACTGATGTATAGTATTTATGATATAAAAACTTTTAACATTGAAGTTTGAGGGCATTATGATCAACCAAGATTTGTGCTGCTCTAGTATATCTTCATTGGATAAGCTATTATTGAATGTTCATCCATACAAAAAATGCCAAGTATTCATTTATGTTACTGACTTGACTACTCTTTATGGCTTACTGACTTGACTACTCTTTATGCCGTCATAACCTGAGGTTCACACAAGTTTGAAGTTGGTAAACAAAAGTATACAACTCAAATGATAGCTATTCACATGGGAGATCCTTGTTTTCATTTTCATTTCCTGAAATAAAATAAAATAAAAACTGAGCAACTATTTTGCATTTAAGACCTTCAGGCTTGCCAACTAATCCCTTGCAACCTGCATATGTGGCAGACGTCATGTTTGTTTGTACAATTTGCATTACCATCTATAATTTTTAAAGAGAATTCTGCTTGTATATCAATGCACACTAGCCGTATTATGTATATCAAACCCAATCCTTGAGGACCACATAAATCTAATAACTTTGACAAACATTTTCCATGGTTAAAACCTAATAAAGATCTTCAAAATGTTTTGTAACTTTGGTGTGTGGCCTAAGGATGAAACTAATTTAATCATATAGCTGGAGGTGGAATGCGATTAATTGCTGAGGTGGAGTTTAACAGCTTCTCAACACTATAAAATAGGTGTAATTTGTGTTGTTATATGAAATTGAGGGGGGTGGGGGGTGGGGGGTGGGAATGGATGTGACATGTTCATGTATGATTGTTGGATCAACCCAATATGTTCATGGTGTTGACCACCAATCAGCCGCTGCACCCACCTCTAGATCTGATTCACCCAAACCCGACCGCTTGAGCCTTTATCCCGACCATCCTGCTCAACCAATCCAACCTCGTGGGATGGATGTGACATGTTCATGTATGATTGTTGTATCAACCCAACATGTTCATGGTGTTGACCACCAATCAGCCGCTGCACCCTGCGTCTAGATCCGATTCACCCAAAATCAACTGCTTGAGCCTTCATCCCGACCATCCTGCTCAACCAATCCAACCTCATGGCCCCCACCTCACATGTTTCACCACCAAACAACGTAATTGTTCGCTCAAACGACACAACCACCAGCACATTTTCACAAAACCGAGGGCATAAGCCTTCCGTAGGCCATTCGACTCTCACGCATGTAGGAACTCTTGCTCTCTTATTCTCTGTTTCGCATGCTAGAGCTGCATATTTGCTCGTCTCCTTCGACCCCACTCCTGCTCACGAACCCAAATCCGAGCTCGCTCGGTATCTCTTCCTTCGTATGCAGTGAACTCAGCCGCACACGATCTCCAGCCCAATCCCAGCCTCAGCCGACACCTGTGACCCACCGTCCCAATCTCCCGTGATATGTTCATGTATGATTGTTGGATAAACCCAATATGGTCATGGTGTTGACCACCAATCAACCGATGCACCCCACCTCCAGACCTGATTCACCCAAACCCGATCCCTTGAGCCTTCATCCCGACTAGCTTGCCCAACCCATGCAACCTCACATCCCCCATCTAACGTGGTTCACTACCAAATGATGTAATTGTTAGCTCAAACGACACAACCACCCATTTGTTTTCACAAAACCTAGCACAGGAGTCATCCGAAGGCCATTCGACCCTCACCCATACAAGAACTCTCGCTCTCTTGTTCTTATTTCGCATGCTAGAGCCGCACATCTGCTCCCATCTCCTTCGACCCCACTCCTGTTTATGAACTCAAAACCAAGTTCACACGTCTATCTCTTCCTTCGCATGCAGTGAACTCAGATGCACACAATCTTCAGCCTAATCCTAATCGCAACCCAACTGCTGCACGCGACCCAACATCAGCTCTCCCATGACATGCTCATGTATGATTGTTGGATCAACCCAATATATTCATTATGT